ACACACAGCAAACTGATGGGTACAGTATATATATACTATACTTTATTGTATATAAAGTTATAGACATTAGTCAATAGCATATATACAGTATATATATATATATAAGTTATATATACTGTATATACATATATTTACTTCATCTTCAATATTATTATGGAGACTAACAATTGAATCCAATATATCTCTCTCTCTCTCTTTCTTACAAACATATTGTACGATTGTATGCTATAAATTGACCAAAAAAAATAAATAAATAAAACTTTTAACATTAATTCCCGTTGACTGTCATATTATTCAGTCATTCAATTTGTTGTCGGAATTAAGTTTCACTTATTTTTTTGTTGTAATGTTTTTGCTTTTATTTATATATATATATATATATATATATATATATTATATCGTATATACAGTATAGTTGTTTTGATCGATGCATTTATATATATATATATATATATAATTTATATATAGTGTGACCACTTGTATACAAATTATATATATCTATATATGACTCATATGAGACCCACACTTATCGTATTATAAGATTTACTGAAAATACGACAATAATAATAATAATAATACCAACAAAACAAACAAATAATAACAACAACAACATCAGCAACAATATAGTGACAACTTTTTTTTGTTAACTATAATATTATTATTACTTTATATTGTTTTTATATTATTATTACTATTTTTGACATATTTTTCAAAAATAAATTATATATACTGTATAATATACAGTAAGTATTAGAGAGAAAAAATTATGATTTTTCTTATTTTAATGTAAAATAAATTTTTTAGGATTTAAAACTAATAATAATAATAATTTCTAGTATTATTTGTTATTATTCCCCTTTAACCCTATAAGCATATATATATGGTATAAATATTATATATATATAATTTATGGCACAAAAAAATAAACTAAACCTTTACTGTGACTACAGATTATGAAAAAATAAAATAATATAAAATAAAAATCTTATGGTAAGAATTGCAATCTAAATATTATTATTATTATTATTATTATTATTATTATTATTATTATTATTATTATTATTATTATTATTATTATTATTATTATTATTATTATTATGTGAATATTATTTGGAAATGAAATAAATTTTTCAAATAAAATTTTTCATTACTATTATTATTATAACAACACTTGTAGTACAGTATATATTAATTTATTATATTAATATTATATATATATAAATAATATATACTGTATATTATATAAAAACAAATTATTATTATTATATTCTCTATATAAAATTATTTTTGTATATATATATATATTTAGTTGACAACATTTAGCAATGACATTGTATTGCTATTGTGTTAATTAATTACATTGTTTTTTTTTGTTGTAAAAATTTATTAATTACATGGGTATTTCAAAGTAATAAATTTTTTATATACTATAATATTTAATATATTAATATATATCGTTGTCATCATTATATACTGTGTATCAGTTTATCATATATATAGTAATACTAATAATAATAATCTTATACTAACTCTACGGTAATTCGAGTTTTATTAAAATTTTTTTTGAAACATATTTAATATATTATAAATATAAGACTTATATTATATTATATATCTATATTGTATATACAGTACAGTAGTTTATAGTTATATAGTGAGTGTGAATGAGTGAGAGAGAGAAAGAGATGAAAGCGATTTTTGCCGAGACTTTATATGTGTGTTTGAATGAGAATATTATATAAATATTTATTTTTCTGACTTCAAGTTTGGCGTGAGATTTGAGAAGTGTTTCTCTCTCTCTCTCCCTCTCTCTCTCTCTCTCTCTCTCTCTCTCTCTCTCTCTCTCTCTCTCTCTCTCTTATATATATATATATAGTGTTTGCTGAGACAACCACTTAATTCATGCCATACTTAATGTTTACTTCAATATAAACTAACATTTATTATAGCATAGTTTATATATATATAAACTAACATCAATATAATATAACTCTCTTTCTCTCTCTCTCTCTCTCTCTCTCTCTCTCACTCACTCAGTCTCACTCACTCACTCACTCACCCACCCATTCATTCACTTACTTAGAAATATAAATAAAATCAGTGCGAAAAACTCATTTAAATTGTTTTTCTTATTAATAATAATAATAATAATAATAATAATAATATAAAATAATGTCTAAATAGTAAAATAGCAATAAAAATAACACTACTGTATTATAAATAACACTAAATATTTAATATAAATAATTTCATTTAATTAATAGATAATTTAGTTATAATTATAATCTAAACATTTATATATATATATAGTGTTTATTAGGTAAGTATCAATATATCCATACATTTACTATACAATATTACAAATATAACAAAAAACATTTACTATAATTGTTACAAATACTGTATTATTATTATGAATGACTTACTTATATATAATATGTCCGACATCTCAATCAATCAATCAAACAAAACAATCAGTAAAACTTTAACACACTTACAAACACTTACTCACTCACTCACTCACTCACCCACTCATTCATTTATTCACTTACTTTTAGAGTCTATTGATTGCATTCAATAATACATTTTAGTGTAATTTATTTCTATTACCAAACATTACTTACTCTCTTACTCTCTCTCTCTCTCTCTCTCTCTCTCTCTCTCTCTCTCTCTCTCTCACTCACTCACTCACTCACTCACTCACTCACTCACTCTCTACCTTATGTCTGTGTCTATTGGAAATCTCACACTCATTGAGTCCAATTCATATCATTTCATTTGATTTCATATATATATATCACACATAAGTTTTTCAGCTAAACTTATATTATGAGTACTACTACTACTACTACTACTACTACTACTATCATATATTAAGTAGTGCTAAGAAATTGCCAGTTATTTTTGGAGTTGACTTTTACTTTATATGTCAATAATATTTTCAGTAATAATTTTCGCAACAAAAATATATATATATATATATAGTGTGTGTATGTGTTGTTGTTTTCACACTTAGGGTACGTTATATATACCGATACCCAGTTATGTATTAGTGAACCATTGGTTCGCATCATTGGTTTATAGTTGTGTCACAAATCATTTTCATATACCCTCTCACCTCACAATCAATACTGATATATATACTTATATATACCGGTACTGTATATATATACTGTATAATACCTAAGTTATAAGTATAAGTTATACAGTATTACCTAAAATACCTAAAATACCTAAAATCATATCATCTATGCTTATTTAGGATGAGACCTAAACTTTTTGTTAATTATTATCAATTATATTAGTTTTAATAGATTTAATGTATAATAATTAAGTTAATTGAAACTTATTTATTTATAATTTTTTTTTGAAAAACTATTTAAATTTTTTTTGCTATGTCTAAATGTTGTATATTATAATTATATATATATATTTTAGAAAAAAATTGAAATTGAAATAATTTTAATTAAATTAATTTGTGTTTTATTTGTTTTTTAATTGTATTAGTTTAATGTGCTGGGTGCAATTTTAAGTATTAATAACTTCAAATGCAATAAATAATAAACATTTAATTTGAAAACTATTGTCGCAGAATAAAAACTATATTATCATATAATTTATTTTCCAAAATTATAACCATTGAGTTATTTATATTTTGGATTATTTATTGAATTTAATTATTTATTAATAAAAACAAAAATGATTAAAAATACTAAACAAAAAATACTTTAAATTATTGTATTTATTGTTGTCTTTCATTCAAATATTATAATATTTATTATAATAAAAAAAATTATGGTGTAGTATAAGTGTATAGATTAAAAAAGTAAATTAAAAAATAACTAAATTGTAAATTAAATACAATAATTCAAAAATAATGTGAACAAAAAACAAATCAAACACACATTTATTAATAGAGTATAAAGTTTTTATATACTCTATATATATATATATATAGAATATTCTGTGTATTATTATTATATAAATACGATATATACTGTATATAACAGTATATTTCAGTGTATAATAAGTACGGTATTGACAAAAGCCATGACATCCCATATAAATGGTTCCCTAAAGTGCTGTGCCTTTAGTAATGAAGATCAAAGGCGACTAATTTTGTCAGTATTTCATTATTATCTAAATTAATTAATCTCTTCATTAGGTTCTCTCTCTCTCTCTCTCTCTGTTTGGGAGAAAGAAAATAGAAAGAGAGAGAGAGAAAGAGAGAAAGAGAGAGAGAGAGAGAGAGAGAGAGAAACTAATTAAATGAGTAGCAAAATAAATGACAAATAATATCAAAATTCAACTAAACGTTTGGCGCATAAATTGCAAAATTGATTGTAGATTTGAGAAAAAAACAATAACATAAAACTGTATATCAATTATTATTATTATTAGTAGTAGTAGTAGTACTAATATTAGTGTTAATATATTGTATGAAGAAAAAAAAATTTGTATAACAACAACAAAATAAAAATTTCCATAATTTTGTTTCACAACAACAACAACAAAAAATTGACAAAATATTATTTCTTGACAAAAAAAATCTAAGATATGATATCTCTATATAATATAAATATAGTATAAATAGTATAATAGAATTTATAATAGAAATTGTATGGTTGGTTAGCTATAGTTTGTTGATTTAATGGACAAATATATATATATATATGTATTATCATATATATATATATAAATTTATAGATATATATACCTAAATATATATATCAGACAATATATGTAAAACAGAATTTATTTTTTTGGTCAACAAAATCGGTTAATATTATATGATTGGGTTTATTGTTTTTATAGTGAAAATATTTTTTTTTGCTTAGAGTATTTCTATATATATATATATATAAATATATAACTTAACATATAATTTATATAAACGTGTATAAAAAATACTATATATTATATATATATAACTACTACTACTACTATATTTTGTACAGAAAAAAAATAAAAATAAAAACTTTTTGTCGACCTAAGCATATTGTGTTTGTTTGTTATGTAATAAACTTAAAGTACAGACACATATACTATACACAGACATAACACTCCACTCTAGAGTCTAAAGCCAACTTCACTTTGAGATATATATATATATATATAATATATTAATATATATTTATATATATATATATATATATATATATATATATATATATATATATAATATTTAAAACCCAATGCATTTTTTTGTACAGTATTTGCCTCAAGATATATATAGAGAGAGAGAAAAAATTGTTATGAGATTTTTTTAAACATCTTTTTTTTGCGTAAAATATTTGATCAAAAATTTTATTTTTAAAAAATACTTTTTTTTTATTATTATTTTCACTCATAAGATCTATATATATATATATATATATATATATATGAAATAACTGGTAGTTTAACATACAATAGTGAAAACCAAAAAAAAAATATATTCATTCGATTATAATTCAAATTTTTGTTTTGTTTTTCATCCAAAATTGAAAAAAGAGTGAAAAATATATGAATGTATTTATATATATATATATATATATAATTTGTTTTAATGCAAAAATACAAATCTATTATATATACACACAATAATACAATATATATATATATATAGTATTATTTAACATTAATTGTGTTAAAACAAATTTTTATAGATAGTAGGAATATATATATACAATATATACTGTACTGTATATATAATCATTCATTCATTGGGGAAAAATTTTTAAACATAATATTATTTAATATATATATATATAAATATTTGTATTGTATTGTATATACTATATATATATATATATATATATACAGTACTAAATATGGCAATTGTTAATGTAATTTATCCCAACAAATAACACAAAATTTTATTTAATTTTTTTTTGTTTGTGTTTCTCTCTTGTTATCATAAATGCACGCATAATGTGTCAGAAACACTATAACTTAAAATTAATTTAATGTGATTTTCTATACGCTCTCTCTCTCTCTCTCTCTCTCTCTCTCTCTCTCTCTCTCTCTTTCAGACAAAAATATGTCTGTATTGTGTTATATATATTCAAGGCTTGTTTGCATCAAAACAGAGCCTTAAAAATGATTTAATCAAATTATTCCGCATTTTGGACGCACACAAAGTTTTTGAAAGTTTTATAATTAAATTTATAAATATATATATATATATATATATATGTATATAAATTTTTATACTCAAACACTAAACTAATTTTGCGTTAAAACAGATCTACTTATTATTATTTGTAATTTGTAATGTATCCGTTAAATATAGCTAATAACTTAAATATTATATATATATATATATAAATACTATGATATATTAGTTAAACACATATTTTTATTATACATATAAATTTATTCAATAAAAATTTTCATTCAATAATCCCATATCAGAATATTTATGTAATTTATTTTTATTATTTAAATACTAAATATGTATATTGTATTTCCCTATTGTCTAACAACTACTACTACTATCTAATAAAATAAATTACAATTAATATTAAACAATCACTTAATTAGTTGAATTCATAAAAATCATTGTCAATAATTTAATAAAAATATTATTTTTATTTTATTTTTTCTCCCGTTTAGTTAGTTATGGAGAAAAATCTTAGACAAAATAAAAGTAAAATTTTTCATTAATTTGATTTGTTTATCAATAAAATGCAAATAATAATAATTAAATTAAAATTTTACTCATTTTATATGATACACATATACATAAAAATTATTTAAAATTTCAAATTATTGTCTTAAAACTACATTTAAATTTTTAGCAATTATTTTTCACATACAATATACACTATATACACAAAAATCAAATTAAGATAACATATAACACAAACAGTACTTAACATACATTATTAAACAATAATAATAATAATTATTATTATTATTATTAAAACTACTAAATTAAAAGTTTTATATATAAATATATATTAATTGTTTTTGTTTATATAAACATTTGTCTGAATATCTATTATTATTATTATAATTATTATTTGCTATCATTTAAGATAATCCAGTTAATGTTTCTTAAACATGATTATTATTATTATTATAAAATGTTTTAGACATGTTTTGATAAAACACACACATATTTATTGTGTAAACACTATTTTTAAGTATTAGTCAATAATAAATTTTATACATACAAACAATAATAATAATAATAATAATAATAAAACAAAATTTTAGTTTAACAAAAATAATGTTAAGCTAGCAAAAATAAATATAATATAATATTAATTTATTGTGAAAATAATATTTATTTTTATTTTATTAATAAAAAAATAGTATACCAATACTACTACATAAATGTATACTAAAAACTGTTGGTTAGCAGCAATAAAATAAAACTAAAAAATAGTTGTTTTTTTCAATACTGTATTTATACAGTATATAAACTATAATATTAGTCAAAACAAAAAAAATCTAAATTCAATATCCGATATGTATTGGCGTGAGTTTTATTCACTTTGTTTTTTATATTTA